AGATAAAGAAGGAGAGGAAGAAGAAGAGGAAGATAAAGTAGAAGAGAAGGAGAGGAAGAAGATGAATAAGATGAAGAAGGAGAGATAGAAGAAGAGAAGTTGGAGAGGAAGAAGAGGAAGATAAAGTAGAAGTAGGAGAGGAAGAAGACGAACAAGATAAAGAAGGAGAGCAAGAAGAAGAGAAGTTGGAGAGGAAGAAGAGGAAAATAAAATAGAAGGGAAGGAGGGGAGGAAGAAGACGAAGATAAAGAAGGAAAGGAAAATTAAGAGTAGGTGGAGAGGAAGAAGAAGAGGAAGAAGCAGAAGATAAAGTAGAAGGGAAAGAAGACAGGAAGAAGACGAAGAAGATAAAGAAGAAGAAGAAGATAAAGTAGAAGAGAAGGAGGAGAGGAAGAAGAAGGTGGAGAGGAAGAAGGAGAGGAAGATAAAGTAGAAAGGAAAGAGGAGAGGAAGAAGACAAAGAAGATAAAGAAGGAGAGGAAGAAGAAGGGAAGGTGGAGAGGAAGAAGAGGAAGAGAAGAGAAGGTGGTGAGGAAGAAGAGGAAAATAAAATACCCCAAACCACAACCCATAAGACTATATACATAGCATTGAGCCATGGCTGTTAAAAGTGGCGTCAAAGTGCATTAATGCTACAGTGTAGATGCACCCTTGCAAAGCTTTCTGCATGGTTTGGAGCTAATCCCTCATTGATTTGGAGGAGTCTTCTGGGGCAATAAAAGCTAAGTCAAGAAGTAATTTGCCAGCAAAGCAAAAAATAAACCTAAAATGAATAGTAAGATACACGTTTACACCCATGTGCAGTGCTTTCTTTCATGCGCCGCATTCCATTTTCATTGATTCAGACAGGATCAATGGAGCCAATCAATTAGCCCAGTTCGTGATGCAGCTGGGACGGTGGCAGAGTTTTTAAATGCAATTCAGTTTTTAAATTTATTTATTTAATATTTAATGAAAAAAATGAGATATATGTGTGTGTGTTTATGCATATACATGATTTAATTGGTATATCGTCATACCCGTCGTTAGCCTCCTTGAGTCCTCGTATCAGGAGAAAGGCAGGACGAAAATAAAGTCAATGAATAAATAATAATTAAGTGGGTGCAAACTGTATTAGGGCCCTCGTTCCAGCTGGAGAGGGAGCTCAAAGCATGACATTTAGACGACGACAAGTTGAAATGAGGACTGAAGGAGCCTCCTTAACCCGGAGAGCCATGATCTGAATAACAGCAAACCGGCTAATTAATCGGCTCTATTGATCCTCCCCGAGTCAATGGAAATGCAACGTGGCGCATGAAAGAAAAGAGATGTTCGCTCTGTGCTGGAGACTTGAAATCGCATTGTTTGTTTTATTGTTTGCAGCCTCTTTGCATCTCATTCTCAGAGATAAAAGCAGGATACAAATATAGATTTAATATACGAGGGTTGAATGAAAAGTAATGCCTCCACCTTCGTAACTTCTCAACAGGTGGCAGTAATGGTATGCGGCAGGTACTGGCTTGTTCAGTAGACTCTCCTCTACAGTTCCATTTTGGCGGGAAGCCTTAGCATTGAACGGTTGTGTTGTTAAAGTGCGAAGTATGGAACCCTGCGCAGTCGGTCAATGCAACTTGAGCAACGTGCAGTCATTAAATTCTTGAGAGCAGAAGGTGTCACCCCAAAGGAGATTCATCAGAGAATGCAAGCTGTTGATGGTGAGTGTGTTGATGTGAGTACTGTGCATTATTGGTTGATGTTGAGGTGGGAACATCTGACTTGCGTGACAAACAAAGAGTTGGACGTCCTATGACAACAACCACCGAATTTCACAAGCAAAAGGTTGACAGATTGATTCAGGA